GTAGCTGGTCATAAAAATCCAATAGTTACCTCAGTGAGCTGCTGGACAATTCATATATCTAGCTTAGCCCAGGAAATTATTGTGGTAACTCATTTACTCCTGGTAAAAGCTAACATTTCACCTGCTTCCATAATAGCATAAGAGAATTATTACATGCAAACTGCATCAAAAACTTTAAGGAGTAACTGGAACTTACCAAACAAGACCATATAAACAGCCTCATTTTAGAAGGGGAAGAGCGTTCACCTTCTAAGATTGCATCCCTTTTTTGAGCCAAGCTTCGCAACACTAATAACAAAGCATGCTGAATCACCGGTCATTTTAACAACTACTTGTTATGTAACTTCGTTTTGCTTGGGTAACCCATAGGTGGAAGAAATAAAAAAGATGAAAATCGGTGACCCACTTGATAGATCAACAGATCACGGCCCACAGAATCACAAAGCCCATCTGGAAAAGCTGCTGAACTATTGTGAAACTGGAGTGAAAGAAGGAGCCACTCTAGTGTATGGAGGAAGACAAGTATGTAGACCAGGTAAGATACTGGTCAAAGCTGTTAGGAGTTAGAAAGCAGCAACATCATGGAAAGAGTACAAGGCAAACCCAAGAAAACACCTGAGGACAGAGTATTCAAGTCAAATATTACAAAATGCTGTGCAACTGAAATATATCAAAATGAGTCAAGATTCCCATCTGTAGCAGTATCTTGCACTCATTTACTTGTATTGTTTATGAGGCATGGAGGCCTTTTTTGCAACAACCTTGAATTGTCAAGAGCTGTAACTGTAGTCATCCACTTTGATGAGCAGAATACTTAAGCTGTGTGGAAAGTCTGCATTAGATACTATTATCAAAAGCCTGTTTTGTTATATGAAGACTTTGTTATATGAAGAGTTTAACAGGAAGGCATAAAAGCAACATTTTGTCATGATGATCAGTCCTTTATTAGTAATGGAGAAGAAACATTTGCATGAGAATTTTAAAACATATGACTGCATCCACAAAGAAAATGAAAATGCAGATTTGTAGCTGTAAGAAGTCAGTGTAACAAAATAGGAAGGAAAAGGTGATTATACAAAACACTGGAAGCTGGCTTTATCCACTCTCAATGAAATGTACTCACTCTTGTAGATGGAGATACCCAAAATCACTTATATCTAACACTGTAACAGTTCTTGATTGACAACAACGTGAACTTGTTTATAGATGGGTCTTTTATACCGCTTAGAAAGGAACAGTAGTTATGAGGTGAGCTTTTGTTTCAGTTAAACCTCAATAAACCGTAGGCAAAGTTGCTGCCCATTGCATATTTTTTTCTTGTTTTTGGAAGATACAGATATGTATGGCTATCTTCTTGTCAGGTAACAAGAGAAGCAGTGGTCTCTCTGACATTCTGTAACGCTGCCTTCCTGCTGCCAGAATGCAGGATCTGTCCCTGAGGAGCAGCCTAGCCTTGCGCATGCAGGCCTTCTCTGGACATGACCCACATGTTAACTGCTCTCATCAAGAAAGGCCATTCTTTTAGCCTTCTTTCTGCTGTTATACATATGCATCACCATTCACTATTTATTCTTATTGATCTTGGTATTTTCTGTTTCAAGCCTCAATGTATCTGTGACATTAAGTACAGATAGCCTGGACAATACAAACAACAAAGCATTTTGTCTTCACTTAGATGCTGTTTTATCCTCTATTTAGGTTTCTTCATGGAACCCACTGTATTCACAGATGTTGAAGACCATATGTACATTGCGCAGGAAGAATCCTTTGGTCCAGTGATGGTCATTTCCAAATTTAAAAATGGGTACATTCTTCTTATTTTCACCGTGTGTTGAAATACATTGAATGGTTCTTTTAATCTTCTAAGATCTAGCTGAAACTCAGGTTCTCTTTCTGCTAAATTCAGAGGTTTTCTAGTATGAGTGTCCTTCTGCATGTCAGTATAGAATAAATGCTGTTACAAGTGTGCAAGGGAGTAGGAGGGAGCACCAAGCACCATTTCTTAAATAAGACTCAATTTTCAATGAAAGATTTTTACTCAAATTGATACAAACGCAGAGGTTGGATCAAATTGCTAAAGGTGCATTTTTTTCCAGTGGACAAAAAGGACCTCATAGTGTTTGTGCATTGTCTAAGTCTGGCACATTACTCCTGTAAATGAAAATGCCCCTGTATATTTTGTGGAGTGCCAGTTTTAGTAGCTTTCATTTTACATCATAGGAATTATTTTACAAACAGATAATATAACAGCCTTATGTAGAAATTTCATACAGCTGTTTCCACCAGGTTTCTTTTTTCTGCAGCATGAAAGTGAAGTTGGGAACTGGCCACACAGATACCCCTTTACGTCTACAAATTATGTGTGGAAATACGGGATTATAATCAGTTTTTGAAGCTTTAACATATGGATTTTTAAAATTAATTGAGATTGGATAGAAATAGCAATTTGAACATTGCTTGAAAAGACTGCTTGAAATGGACAGCTGAGGTCCAGCATTTACTCCATTAACTGACAGACTTTAGCAAACTGACTCATAACGCGCTGCCAAGTTCTGCTTTACAAGTCATTTTGTATTCTTCTGATCCCTGAGATGTACAGTGTAGTTGAGTGAAGATAAGTGTGCATAATGCAGCTTTCTTTTGACATTTCCTAGTGTAGATCTTAAACACCGAAATGCAAACACATGCTTTACAAGCTTGAAGCAAGTGTATGAATTTCCATAACTGAAACAGACTGACACAGAGAGTAGTCCTTACTAAACTACTGTGTCTTTGTAACAGCTAAGAGAAGAAGCATGGCAGAAGATGTTTCTATCAAACTGAGGATCTAAGCTTGCTAGCACTTACTTGTTTTACCTCCTAGCAATTAAATCAATATTTTCTCCTCCAGGGATATCGACGGAGTGCTGCAACGGGCAAACACCACAGAATATGGTTTAGCCTCCGGAGTTTTCACAAAGGACATAAGCAAAGCTCTCTATATCAGTGAAAAGCTGGAAGCTGGAACAGTTTTTATCAATACGTACAACAAAACTGATGTGGCAGCACCATTTGGTGGATTTAAACAGTCTGGCTTTGGAAAAGATTTAGGTAAGTTGTTCTCTCCCCTCGTTTCTCATCTGACAATCCAAGTCAATGAAAAAATAGCATTACCTGAAATCTACAGATGTATTTCCTGCATCTCCCACATTCCTCCAGCGAAGTGATCTAATTCTTCTCCTGTCCTTACAAATCCCACTTCAGTATCTCCAGTATTGTTCATTTTATTACAAGACTGGACAGATCAAGCCTCATGGCAAAGAGTAATACAACAAATTTTTGCCCTCGGAATCCCTTTTTTTTTCCCCCCCCTCATCAACATTATTAATAGGGGAAAAATCCCTATGTAATGTAATTTTGTAATGTAATTTTTTTTTTTTAACCCAGAAACTTAACATAGGCAAACCAATTCTTAAATTCAGCTCCAAGCACCTCCACACAAGTTGCCACCTAGAGATTGCTGCTGCTTCAGTACTCCCCCCAGGTGGCAGCTTGTTAAAATTAAGCTGCATTTTCTTTCCATACTTGTTGGGTTTGGCCTCTTCTCGTTAAACCAGTCCTGTAAATCTTAAAGGGAGAGTAAATGCATTAGTTTCTCATCGTGTCTCAAGGACTCAAATGTTGGCTAAAACATTACAAATTTATTTTAATGATACAGTTACCTTCCCTGACAGCTTTCTCTCCTTTAGCCACTATTCTAACTGGTTAATATTTGCTTGTACAGGTGAAGAAGCTCTTCATGAATATCTTAGAACGAAGGCTGTCACTGTGGAATATTAACAGCCTCACTTGGAAAGTAAACTTTTGGCAGTTCTAATCTTAAAGGCTCCACTTAATACCATGCCTGGGATATGCCATCTGCAGTGCTGCAACTAGAAAACAAATACACTCATTCCATAGATAATTTCTTTAAATCAGGTCCAAATTTTAGTCTCACAGAAAGACAGAAGCATTTGGGAATTAGCCTGACACCATATAAATGATCCAGCAACAGTAGCAGTGATTAGCACAAGCCAAAAATAAAAAAGTAGTTTGGCTTATTTTTAAAAAATACAGCTGAATAGAAAATTCTCACATGCCTACTTCTTATTTGTGTGACCACATTTACATGAACATTTTAAACTTACTTCTTAGGTGTCTTCTAAAATTGAACTAAAATATGCATATTATATCATTTTTGCTATTAACTGGTTCAGATTTACAGTAGCAACTTAACATTCTGCTCTGGTGATTCGTCAGCAGTACAGAAAACCTTTGTGCCATAAGAAGTACATCAATGCAAGGAAGTGCACTTACTATGATCTTTGTATAGTACATACAGAGTTCAACATCCATGTTAACTATGCATACCAAGCTAAAGTTACTGAAAATATTTTCTATCTTTTTGTTGAAATGGAACATGTGATCAGCCTGCAATCTGAAAAGTGGATACATTAAAAGATTAAAATCACTTGGTGCAAACAGACTCTTATCAGTTTTATATGGCATGACTATTACTTTGTACTTCAAATGTCTTTCCTTCTTAAATCTATGCGAAAATCTCTTGTAAAATGACTGAGTTAAGACTTTGGCTTTCAAATTTTCTTCAGTTTGAAGTTTTCCATACAGATCAAGACCTTACCCAACAAACAGACTGTACTTAATGCTGGTTGCTCTTCTTACATTGTACCTCCACCTAAAACTTAATCTGATCTCTGGACTGCCATTAGAAAGAGCAGTCCCACTTCCTGACTCCTATTCTTCCTCTTTCCTAAAATATTCTGGGACTTCATCAGCTGATTTTGATAAATTGTACCCCTCTTCCATTTTTAAGAAGCTATACTGAGAGGGGAAAAAAAAAAAAAAAGAATCCCTGTAATTTCTTATCACAAACACTACTGAAACAGGTCTTAAAAAGAAAACTTCAGAATTAAGTACTGGATTTGAAACAAGTTGTGTACATAACTGCAGGTTTCAATTCATTATTTTTTAAGTTTAATATCCGAGCAAATACAATAAAGAAAATATGAATGATATAGCAAATAGAAAATAGTACTTCAGGAAACAACGTGTGATACACAGGAGCATCACAGAGACTTTTGAAACACGAAACAATCTGTAAAGTAAATACAGCAGCCCAAATCATTGTATTTCACCAATCTGAGGTAAGTACAAATGAGACATATTTTCACTGATTGTGGTTTCACGATTGTTTCAAGCTAGCCTGAGGACAGGCCAACTGAAAATAAACTTTTTGATTCTTCTGGTAGTGACAATTAACAAAATGAAGAGCAGAAATGTGATAAAGCAGTAGATGAGTAGCGTGGCTTAGTGCACCTGTAACACCACAGAGGTGGACTTGACCTGAGTACCACAGGTATTTACTCAAACACTGCAGATAGGAGCTAGCTCAGGGAATAGCAGCAACCTACCTGTAACTCAGCGCAAGCCCAGAAGTATAAGTAATTCTTTGCTAAACTCTTTCAAGTCATGGCTTATTAAAATGTTATCCTTACCTATGCTACCTCATCTTGAAACAGCCTCAGCTGTTGCTTTGGTATTCAGCAGTTACTGTGATGATGGCAACATACAAACAACTTCTAATGTACTTTAAGGTAACATTTAATATTGAAGACATTGTACACTAATACTTTACAGGACATAATAAAGAACAGATTTTTCCTTGTCATTTCTTTCCTGCCCTCGAAGTCAAGCTTTATTCTAAGCACACTACAAAAATCTTTCTTCAACAAAACGAGAACAAGAATTTTCTCAACTAGCTCTGCAGTACGCCTTTCTGCTCAAACATTCCAACTTGTAGCTGCTTTCTTAGTCTAACTTCACAAGAAAGCTTGGAATTTTCATGTTGTCTGATGAATAAGACATTACTTAATTCTTCAGAGATGTGGCTTGCTTCAGAGCCATGAGCGGATCCTGAATTCTCCACCAAGTAAACAATAGCATTTCACAGGATCCTCGGGAATCTCACATGGAGAAACAATGCCATTTAAAGGCTAAGTCTTCAAAGTAAGAAAACATGGTTTGCTTGAATACTATTTTTTTTTTTTTATTTTTTTTATTTTTTTTAAGTATAATAAAAATTGATTCACTCATTCACTTTGCTGTCCAAAATTTCTATTTTGCCCTTTTCTCCCTTTGGTTTAGGAAACTTAATGTTGTCTATTGTCACTTCATCAGTTATACAGTCATCTTCAGATTCTGAGTCATCTTCTGAAGTTAGGTTCTCTTCATCTGTATCAGAATCACTCAGTTCAACTACAGCCACATTCTGAAAGAAAAGATCTTAGTTAACACATGATACGTTTCTGTACTCTTCCATAATTTGATTAAAACACAAAGCAAACAAATCAGCTCTACTACTGTATGAAAACCACAGTCAGACAGTGTTTTGTCAGTCAGACAGACTTTTGGGTTCTAACATGACTAAGGCAAATATCATAAACAGATTCCCAAGTATTTAAATTGTAGCTTTTATCACCCAAAGCAAATACAAGGGCATTTTTATATCCTTATAAAAGAGAGAAAGGAAATAGATGAACTCAGTCAAAATCTAAAGTAATGAGCAGGAGGCATCCAATAAAGAACTTAAACCACTTAAGAGTATGAAGACGTCACGCTATACGTGTATATATATATATATGCATATATTTATGAATGTTATTCATATCATCTGGTATTATTAATGCTGCTACAACTACTGCAAAGTAGTCTAAATCACACTTTGTGAATCAAGTGATCATATATTTTCTTAACTAGAGCTGTAATTTCTGAGGGTTGTTTTTCTCTCTGAAAACATCTGTCTTAAACTGCTGATCCTCACCTCAAAAACTTCCTGCATGCTGCAAGGCAAAATTTACACGAAAAATACACGAATGTGTATTTATACAAAATATTTATAATATAAAATATACAAAACACAAAAATAAACGTTACACAAATAAATGTATTCCATGATCTGCAAATAACACGATGCTATTATCTCCTGACTTGTTTATTGTAAAGCCAAGGATTGTCAGACACTACCACATGAAAAATCTTTTGAAAATCCAACTCGTTCCACATCAGCACGTTACAACAAACAATTTTTAGAATCCATTCTGTTTTCTGACAACTTATTGCACGTAGATTGAGTACAGTCTATAAGGAGGGGGAATGGTTTTAAACTGAGACAGGGGAGGTTTAGATTGGATATTAGGAGGAAGTTTTTCACACACAGATTGGTGACGCACTGGAACAGGTTGCCCAAGGAGGCTGTGGATGCCCCATCCCTGCAGGCATTCAAGGCCAGGCTGGATGTGGCTCTGGGCAGCCTGGTCTGCTGGTTGGCGACCCTGCACATAGCAGGGGGGTTGAAACTCAATGATCATTGTGGTCCTTTTCAACCCAGGCCATTCTATGATTCTATGATCTAACCAGCATCCAAGCAGTTGCTCTGAGAGCTCGCAGACCAAACTATCTGGCTGCCCCATTTCTGCCTTATTTCTTGTCGGTTTGCAGACCAGAAGACACTTGTCTGGAACACACATATATCACATCGCTTTCAGAATGAAATTTTCCTACGTGAGCACGTGGACTTATAATTTCAGCTAAAAGCAGAATGAAAATATTGCTGTGACTGTAAATATTAGCTGTAAAAGATCATAACACTAACAACATTTTTCAACCCAAAGCTATTATTATATTAAAGCCTTCTGTTATGCTTTACTAGGAACAACGTCCAATTTTGAAATCAAATCTCCTACATTTAAAATAGAATGAGCAACTTACTTTCAGTTCAGAGTTTACAATTCAAAGATAAAATACCTTATTCTGACCTTAATCTACTTCATCCCTAGCCATTATATTCTGCAAGTATTAAAATCAAGCAGTAAATTTCAACCCCAAAAGGGTTTACTACTTTCATTATGAATTTGCAGGTCACAGAATAAAATGGTAAAGATTCCACCTTATTTATCAAGCTAGCTTAGTGTAAGATCAGAGGATTATTTTAATCATACCAAAATGCAGTTTGTAGAACCAAAAACGTGTTATTTACCATTTCTATAACTTTCTCAGTGGCACTGTCGAGATTTTCAATATCAAACTGATGAGCTGGTGCTGTTACCATTTTTCTTTTTAGCTCATCATTTGCATGAGCCATCTGTGGTAAAAAGCTCTGTACTCTGTCCAAAACTGAAACAGAAATAATTACTACCTGTATATATATATACACATACACACAGACACATTTATAGTTTTATACCTCAGAAATCCGAGCATCTAAACAGATTCAATTTCAACTCTGATTCCCAATTGTCAACCACAGCAGCAAATATTTCACACTGAGAAATTACATCTGAGAGATACAAGAAGCTCAACAAAAAGCAGCAAGGCTGATTATACTGGAAACAAAAGTCCGAGCCTAAAGAGCACTGGTCTATTTTCACGAAGAGAAAAATTCTCGAAGATCACATAATTCCTAAAGAATCTCAGTTTTTCATTACATGTAGAAACACACCAAAGAGAACGCTAGATGTCTATGCGTAATTTGTCTAAGAACCCAAAGCAAATAGAAATGGAATGAGTCTCCCCCTTTACCAAAGCAAATATTTGATGATTCACGGAAGCAAAAATACCTTAAAGTTGTTCAAGCGTTAAATATTCAGCTATGTTAAATAAACTACTTAGTTGCTGCCACTGCTCTAGTAACAGCGTTACACTTACCATTACTCCTTGGCACCCTTACAGTCTGTAAAGTCGTAGCCTTCTTGCGGCCAGGCTTTGAACTAATCAGTAACGTTTCTTCCAAACCTAGAAACAAACAGGTATTTACACGTTTACCTGCATCAACCACAAACTCCACGTTTTTAACTGTGAGGCTTTCCTCCTGCTGCTCCTTCTCTACTCTTCTATGCCAAACCTAAACAGATGAGGATTCATTTAACAAGCACTGCGGCATTCCCGCAGCTCTCGCTCCCGGAGGAGCCCCGCACACCGACCCCTCGGCCCCTCACCTCCGCGGCGCCCCGCGGCCAGCAGCTCCTGAGAGGCCGCCGCCTGCCCAAGCCCCGCCATGCTCCCCACAGGCCGGAAGTAGGGCTCTCCCTTCCCCGCCCACCGCGGCGCAGCGCCCCCTGCAGGTCGGGATGACCGCTTCCTCCGCGAGGTTCGGCGGGTGCCGACTACTGGCGGCCGTGGGCGGCGGGAAGGTTCCCTTTGCTTCCCCTCACCTCCGCGGTGCAGCACGTCTCATCTCCGCTAATGATGTGCCCCGGCAAACTGTGCCCTTCGGCCTCATATTGGCTCAATAGGTCAAACACACACGTGGTGTTCTCTCTGTTCCCGTGCGAGCATTCGTGAGACCCGCCTGGGACAGTCCCGTATCGCCATCGCCATTCCCAACGCGCTGGCGCCGGCGCTCAGCTCCTCGCACAACTCCCCGGCCGCCACCTGCGGATTCAGGCAGATGAGTGCCGGAGGGCCGAGGGAGAGCCCCCGCCTCTTTGTTCCCCCCTTGCGGGGTGCGGCCGCCCTCTCGCCATCCCATCAGCGCCTCTCAGCGGCGCGGGGCGGCGGCTGCCGCTCGGCTCTCCCCCGCCCGCCGTCGGATCGGAGCGGCCGGCGACGGCGGCGGCGGCGGCGCATCACGGCCACATCATCGCGGGGGCCGCCCGCCCTCTCTCTCCGGCCCCTTCCGCGCCTGCTCAGTGGCGGCGTTGCTCACCTAGCCCGGAGCTGTCACCGCCGCCGGGTGGCCCCTCCCGCCCGCCGCGATGGAGCGGGACCGCGAGCCGCCGCCGGCCTCGCCCTCGCCCTCGCCCTCGCCCAGGTAAAGGGGCAGCGGGGGGGGAACGTGAGGGGAGGGCGGGCGTGGGCGGCGGGCGAGCTGCAGCCGAGGGAGGCGGGGGGCCGGGAAACTTTCCTCGCCGGCGGCGGAGAGGCGCGTCCGGCCCGCTGCCATCCCCGCGGCTCCGGGCGGGCTCCAGCCTTCCCGGCGCCCCGCCGTTCTGCGCGCGCCTCGCCTCGGCGGGTGTGCGTTTGTGCTCCCGTCTTTACCCCTGTGGGATACGCCAGAATGTGGCACCGCGAAAGCGTGAAACCTTTCCCCGGTTGAGTTCGAGTGGCAGCTGTGACCGTTTTCTTTAATTCCGGTAAAATATTGCCGTGCTCTCGCCCTGTGCTGTCCAGGATGCAGTCGTCGGAATCTTTCCGTTTGATCTCAGGTTATGGAGCACTGAACATCAGCCAGGCTGCATATAAAATGTTATTGCTTAGTCTTACTGTAAGTAATAACATGTGAAAAATACAGGGTGATACATCTGTCTCTTGTATTTAGAGCCCTACCAGCTGTTAATTGGCATCCTAACAGTCGTGGGTTGGGCACGGTGGTCTCCAGAGGTCTCTTCCAACCCCTACAATTCTGTGTGATTCTGTATGTGACCTTAAGTGAGATCCTCCCTTTACCAGTAATGCTGAAGATAACAGATGGGACTAGACGGGCTGACCTGTTTTGGCACTGTTCCCTGCGTATATTGCCTTATTGAAGTTCTGAGCCTGGAGCCATAAGGCTACAGTATGGTGGGTAGACGTTTCAGAAAGAAAAAAGGTGGATGTCATTTTCTTTTCAAATACTTTGGGATATTATCCTCCAAAAACAATGTGAGATCTGTATTCTAGTGCCCGACTTAATAAGCAGTTCATGCCCCCCTTAGAAACCTGTAATCAAGATCCCAAGTCGTACAGTTAGGACTCATCCTGTTAAGTACCCACTGGTTACATAATCTAGACGAGCGTGTTACCTCTTCTATTTCAGACTTTTCCCACCTTTTGGCAGGTAGTTTTTGTGCTGGCATTCCATTGGGATGATGTAGCAACGTAACCACATTTCACAGCCCGCTCCTTCATTTCTGGCTCTGTTTTGCTCCTTTTTTTTTTTTTTTTTTTTTTTTTTTTTAATTGAATTGAAGGTCAGAGGCAAACCAAGTCTTTTTTCTGACAGCTGCTTTTCCCTTCCTTGGGGCCAAAATCGAAAGCTGACATGTTCAGGAAGTGAAATGCAGCAGTCTAAAACTTGTCTGAAAATTGAGCCTGAGGCTGGCTGCTCTTTCGATGTATTACTTAAATTCACAAAGGCATTTGGAGGTTGTTTCATCTCTTTCTTTTCCTCATGCTGTTTTCTCTTTTCTTTCTTCTGCTGTTGATTTAACCTACAACTGCCACAAAATAAACACCATGTTAAAAAGTATACTGCATAACATTTAAAAGTGGTACGTACTGCCCATAATGCTGCTATGCATGTGACATTTATTGTTTTTCAGCACGTTTTCCATCTTTTTGTACCAAGCATTTAATATCTGGTATAAATAATCATAGCACAGCGCACTATCCTTGGTTCTGAGTTCTACAAAATGGTTAATGATAAAACAGTCTGTTTGCTTGCTCTATATGTTCAGGTGATCTGATGTAGCTTTCACTTTCTACTGAAATGTTCACTAGGATACAGCAGTGTCAGTGACAGTCGTCTCTGTCATAAGGATATCAGCTTGATACTGTGAACTTGCACGTACACAGGACACAGCAGTGGAGAAGAGGCTGTGCAGAACACTGTCTCATCTGCATAAATCTTATTCAAAATTTACAAAATTCCCATTCCAAACTTCAGAATATGAGAATTCTTGAGATTGGAAGGGAGCTCTGGACGTTGCCTTGTCACTAGCCTTGCTCAATGTAGGCTCGACTACAACAGGTTGCTTTGGGCCACATCCAGAAGCTCAGTATTATATAGCTAGGTGTTATCTTTTGTTTTTTTTGCCAAACTCAGAAAGCAATCAGAAAATTAATTTTCCCAGCCTTAGACTTCAATAAATATTTGTTTTAGCCCATCATAATGCTGACACTATTTGTGTTTTTTTTGTTCACTGTTCTTCTTCCTGCTTTCTTTGAATGAACTTAGAAAAGCATGGCTATTGTTTCCATGCTTTAAATTAATCTCTAGCAGACTAATTGCTGTACAGTCAAACTTTTAGCCCTAATGTCCACTCCTTTAATCCTTCCAGTGATGGATATTACAGAATCACAAAATGGCTTGGGTTAGAAAGAACCTCCAGGATCATCAAGCCAAACCCCCCCTGCCACATGCAGGGCCACCAACCTCCCCATTTAATACTAGACCAGATTGTCCAGGGCCCCATCCAATCTGGCCTTGAACACCTCCAGGGACGGGGCACCCACAACCTCTCTGGGCAGCCTGTTCCAGCACCTCACCACTCTCTCTGTAAAGAACTTCCCCCTGACATCCAACCTAAATCTTCCCTTCCTCAACTTAAAACCATTTCCCCTTGTCCTGCTGTTATCTACTCTTTCAAAGAGTTGACTCCCCTCCTGTTTATAGCCTTCCCTTAGGTACTGAAAGGCTGCCATGAGGTCACCCCACAGCATTCTTTTCTCCAAGCTGAACAAGCCCAGCTCCCTCAGCCTGTCTTCGTAGGGGAGGTGCTCCAGCCCTCTGATCATCTTTGTGGCCCTCCTCTGGACTCTCTTTTTATTCTTTAAATACACATGAGGATGTGTGGAAGAAGCACCTCCTACCCATACTCTTGAGAACTGAATCAAGACTGTGACTGAAACAAAGTTTAGAAGATGAAATCTGTTCCTGCTACTCCATCCCGAACAATTACATTTTCATTTCTTTTATCTTCCTCAGATGAAACAAAAGCAATCAAGTCAATCGAAGGTGAAGTATGGAAAAATGTGATACTGGTCCAGTGTTCAGCTTCATGGCTGAAGTGTGTGAGATTTCCACAAGTCAGCATCTCTTCCTGCTTATGGGCCTGTCTATTTTCCATACCATCTGCTTCTGCTGTTCATTTTCTGTGTCATACATTCAATCTCTGTTGGCATTTTTAAAATCGGTGTACTCATCAATTGCATTAATTCTATATGGGGAAAATTGCTTTGTTGTATGTTGAACTGCTAAGTGTTTCGCTTTTCAGGAATATGTCCTCAGCAAACAGTGGGGTGTGGTTGTATTTCTGTTTGTGTACATTTGCAGGACTGAGAAAGAGAGGTAAATAATGCACAATAATTGATATGTGAATGAATGAAAAGAGGAAATTGTTAAATGTAGCTGCTTAGGAAACAAAGAGTAGAAAATGTTTATGTCTGGGCATAGCTCATTATTTTCCTTGTAGGGAGAAAGACAGGGTCTGCTTTCATTTCACTTATAACATGCCAAGTATGATAAATTTGAGGCAATTTTATGGCTTCTCAAAGAATCTTTATCTCTTGGTTTCTGGTTGTTTTTTTTTTCTCATACTTCTCCTTTCTCTGCAGCTTAATTGTATGGCAGGAAACCAGACTCACTTATCTCCTCCTGTTTTGGACTCGTTTTTGAGCATTTTGCTTCCTTTATTTCACATGAGTTATTCTAGTAGTGCTTGCTTCTTTACCTGGCTATATCTTTTCTAGACAACACAATAAAATTGCAATTGTTCATGTCAATGATAAAGCTTCACAGGGATTTCTGATCCTCAAGATCATATTGCTCTATAGATGGTTTGCTGCTTTCTGTAGCTGCAAGCAAAAAGTAAATACAGCAATATTAGCATCTAGAACTCACAATGAAATTATTGCATCAGGTGACATTTGGAAGAGCAGGTTTTTAGAAATGAATAGCTGAATTCAGGGGACTGTACACTTATCCTCTGAAGATGTAATTACTTTTCACTGTAGGTTTATGTACTGTAGTATATTTTTCACTTCATCTTCTTAAGTTCTCATTTTTCAGCATTTACTGTTAGCTCACATTTTATCATTCCAGGCAGTTTGGTGGGAAAAATCTAAATGACTGCCTTCTAAACTGCTTTAGTACTTTTTTGTTTCAGCTGTTGGCTACCAGTCTGTCTCTGAAGCTTTTACAGTTGTTTGAAATATTTTTCTATCTCTTTTTCACACTTGTAGATGCCATTTCTATTTGTTAACACTTCTACACTGTTCTACTTCTACACTGTTAACACTGTATTCAGTGAAACCACTATATCCCCAAGGAGTTCATTTCTTGAAAAAACAGAAAGTATAAACTTACAAGGAGAGAA